AGAGTGAGAGAGGTGGAGGGAGGGAGAGAGGGTGGGAGGGAGGGAGAGAGGGTGGGAGGGAGCGAGGGAGGGAGGGAGAGGAGAGAAAGTGAGAGAGAGGGAGAGGGAGAGGGAGAGGGGTGGGAGATGATGTCCAGATAAACTTGCTACTCAACAAGGCTTCACGTCACCATACCTAGAGAAAAGCAGAGCTTGCTGCAATGAGCAATCTGAATTGGCATCCAAATGCCTCCAAAAGAACAGTTGCAAGGGCGGAGAGTGCGGCGAGGAGGCAGCCGAACAGGAGAATGAAAATTGAAAAATGGCATCCGAGAGAGACCCTCTCAACACCAGCAACGTAATTCATTCAGAAAACAACAATGTTATTACACGGACCACGACAATGTGGGGCCTTTTCACCCCTAAAAAATGTCAACATCCCACCAAATACAATTATTATGTCCAGTTCCTTAATCAAAGAGTTCTAACCTGACAGCTAGCTTCAAATCACTTGCAAAGCCCCTCCTCAAAGGTGTTAGGTAAGACCCTGCTCGCACACTTTCTAGGATGTATATCTGATAGCAAGAAGGCCAGATTCATTCATTCGGTGAAGGTTCTTTCTTATGGGACAATGCCCTCAGAAACCCAGCCTTCGCTAGTTTACAGACACTAGAAAATTAGATCAGCCAGCTACAGAATTCAAAAGCACACGTCCAGCAGACCCATAACTGTTCTCACAGAATTGAATTGAGCACCAGATTGCATTCCCTTCCAACATCCAGCAATCCTGATTCGGGTGCAAATACCTGAATGAAGCTTGCTCCCAGACGTAGATCTACCACGCAATCTGTCACCCCAACAGTTTCAAATCACTGCCAAAAAGCCCAAATCACTCCGAAAGCCCCTCGTAAAAGCTGTCAAGTAAGACCGTATGCACACACATTTGCAGGATGTCTATCCGGCCGCAAAATCGCTAGACTCGTTCGGAAATGGTTCGTATGGGACGATGCCCTTCGGAACACAGATCTCCGTAGTTTCAAGACAATAGTGAATCTGATCAGCCAGCTGCAGATTTCAATAGCACACACACATCCTGCAGACCCAAGACGGCACTCAACAGTATTGAGTGTGCCAGTTTGTCCTTCCTACCAACAGCCATTAATCCTGACGTATACCTGAAGCTTTCCCTGCGCACTGCGTGCGGCAGAAAGGTTCTCTTGGAACTTAGCTTTATCAATGCACTGCCTCCTTGCTGACCTCTAGGGGGGGAGGGGGGGGGGGGCAGGGACACCTCCAGAAGAAAACAGGCATCTCCAGAGCCAGAAAAAAAAGACATCTCCAGAAGAAAACAGGCGTCTCCAGAGCCAGAAAAAAAAAAGTATCTGCAGAGAATCCGCACCCTGCCCAACAGAATATGAGAACGAGAAAAAAAAGAAAAGCACTGACACAAGTACAAGCAGTCGTTCAATCACATTCCAAGCTCTCTATACGCTTCTCGGTCCTCTCATATTGCAATGAACAAATAGAGGGGGGACACGGAACCGACAAAAAATGAGGGGAAAAACTTGTTGCCACCATTTCCTCGCATCGCACACACCCCAGATCTTTCCCCAATTAAAAATACCGCCCTGCGTAAACACAAAAGAGTGAGTAAATGTCAAACGGCTCTGGTCGTGTGATTTCCTCACTCCTCTCTCCAGACATACTCACACTGCCATTCTTCAGCGAACCTCGGCAATCCAACTCCGCGAGCTGAAAGCATCTGCCTCAGTCAACGGAGCCGAGCAATGCAGACTCCCCGCCCAGACCATTAGCAAAGCAAGGCATTGGCAGTTTAAGTCTTTGACTAGCAAAATATGCAGTTTTGCAAAACTGTTTCGGTAAAAAGCTGGGCCAAGTCTGAAGGAGTTAAAGAGTCTGTACATGCAGACATGCATCAAGACAGGTAGGCTGCCTGCTTCACAAAGGCAACGACACCGGTATCATCCTTCCTTCCGTTCGGTCAGCAGAGGACGCATCAAAAGAGTCGAACTGCACACACAGCAACCCAGAGGAGCAGAAAGCGCCAACATGTGTTCAATCCAAAGCTACAGGTGAAACCCATCACATAGACAACCAGTCCCAACATTCAGCAAGTTTTCAGTCCCAGACCTCACAACATCATGCTAATGACACAACATGGACCTTGCCACCATATCCGTAATAATAGCAAGACCAATGAAGTTCGCCGCACTAGTCATCAGATCAGTTCCAACTACATGACTCGGTAAGGCAAAGGGAGATACAAACGGCTCTGGACAGGCACAAAGACAAATGACTCTAATCACACAGAGAGAAAAGAAATGCGCAGCAGAAAATGACACAAGGCACAAAATGGACGGCACACGATGCAAAAAAAGACAGAGGAGAGGTTGTGCATGCTTATCTCGACGGAGGACCCACCTACGCGACCTCTCACACTACGTATGTGAGACATGGTGTCAGGCAATGCAGACATGGTGTCAGGCGATGCTATGGGCCACCATAAAAACACGCAGCCTACTTGAACTCAGGGTACCCCGGGCATATAACCATGGCTGAATGCATGAAATCGCAGCTCCAGAACAGACTGCAAAGTGTGCTTGGCAGGTCTTATCGACTTGACAGCAGAGGAAAGAGGTCAACAAAACGGTCAGCGGCGTGAAACAGGCGCATCAGCATCGAACAGCATGCGCGCTTCGCCTGCAGCTGTGCAAGATTGCCAACCAGCCTTGCAAATAGGAGACATCCACATCACCATAGCACCACCAACCCTGGCCCCAATCACTCTGCGCAGCAACTACCTCCGCAACGAGGTTTATAGCACAAGAGTCTCGAGGGTTTGTCAAGCAGTGCACAGAAAAAATGCAACGCAATGAACTGGTTCCTCGCTGCATAGCAACCAGATAGCCTGCATGCATACACGAGAATAATCGAGGGTAGCCCCTCGCTGATATCACAACAGTGATTCAAGGCAAACAGAACCACAAGGAAATAAATTTCTCCCGAATCGTGAAGAAGGCCACCCATTACAGAAACAACTTTTACCAAACCCTCCAAGTCACCGCAGACAAATATGAAGAGAGAAACCGAAGGAAAATTACACTAAGGACCCGGACGACAGAAAACACACAAGAACACTGTACACGACAGTCAACCCCCTTGACTCCTCCTGAGAAAACCCTCACTTCTTCATTCAGACTTCTTGTGTCCCGTGTAACGTACCAAGCCCTGGAGAACCGCCACCCTCATGCACATACCTTATTGTGCATCATTGCAACTGAAAGACTGGAGTTGCATTGTCTGGATACAACAGCGCATCACAGCAGCTGCTCTTAGCGAACTCCCAACTCGTCAATCAATCACTTCCCATCAAAACCCATGCCGTACAATTTAGGCACGTTTCAGATCAACGGCCTGCAACGATGCTGGAAATAACGAACACACGTGTCAGGGCTGCACCCCTGGCATCAAATGTCCAATCACCAAATGCCATATCAATAAATGGCCATTTGCCACGTGATTGCATTATCATCAAGGTTGATCCTACAGCACACCTGGCAGATAGGTACACACACGAAATGGTCAATGAACAAATCACGAGTTCAAATCCGGATGGAACCAGCTGGATATAATAATGGCAACACTTCTGGAAAAAAGAAAATTGGATCCTACGGGGCAGTAGGGTCCACGGGCACGCATAAAATACACGAGTCAACTACTCGTTGTTCACACAAAAGACCAAACATGAGCATTGACCTCTCCACTAGAAATTGGCTTTACAAGCGATTCCGGTTAACTGCAGAAAAAAGACCAAACATTACCAATTCCGAGCAACTGGGCTCGTGGGCAGGCAGGCAGGCAATACACCAAGATACGAGACAGTCCATCGTATAATCAACCGCAGAGACTACTGCTGCACGCTCACGCTATCTAAAGAATAACTTCCCCCACGCTGGGCCACCGACTCTTTAACTATTGCTAATCGCGAAAAGAGACTAGCACTTAGCCAAAAATGAGATACAAGCGCCCAAGTTCTGGTGTGATGCTACCACTCAGTCAATATAGCATCCAAGAGCCACTGCTTTTGCCTACACCTTCACGCAATGCCTAAACCTGTTGAACAGGAGAAGAAAACCATGAGACCACCACTGCCAGGAGCGCCAGGCAGACAGACATGTCAGAGTGTAAATAACCAACCAAAGAGGAGAGGGAAATGACACGACGAGGATCGAAAAAGATGTTGAGAAGCATAGAAACCAGACGGAAAGCCAAACAAGGCGAAAGGGGAGGGCCGCTTCCACTGAGAAAGGAGTAATGTGGCCAACTCCTGTTGATGCAGTGGAACACCTGCGCTTGGTGGCAATTCCATCCCTCCTACTCCCCATGCAACTTTCACGGGCGCTTGCTCAAGAAACCCACAATCTTATAAACTACTAAAAGAATCAATCAATTCAACAAACTAATCAACTGCACACGACAGTGCTTTCTGGTCCATCAGGAGGGCTCGAGATTCCTGCATACACGTATGAAGGCGTTTGCGTACCTGACGGTGATGGAACACTCCAATAGACAGAGGAAGTAGAAGCTCCGCGTTGTACTGGAGGTGGCGGTGGATGTGCAACATCCAAGGCACACTGATGGTGACCACTAAAAACACAGCCACCATCATCGACTGGCTCCGACTTAACCTGTGGGACAGGTATCCCTGCTCTGATGCCCTCTCGTGCGTCTGACTTAACCTGTGGGACAGGTATCCCTGCTCTGACCCCCTCTCGTGGGTCTGCTTCTGCAGATCCTGCAGCTGAAGTCTTTCTACAACTATCAACTGTTGATCCCACTGCCACCTGTACCGATGCCATAGGGCCCATTGGATGTAGATGATGAGCTTGCAACCCAAATTGATGGTGACAGTTGCGAAAAATGCAGTCACAATCTTCTTGTGGCTCTGCCTTGACAACCACCGGGACGTGGATCTTTGGCTTAACAACCCACGCAAGATTCGCTGCAGCTCGTGCAGCCAAGGATGTTCCTCTTTCAGCTAAACATTTTTCACCACCACCATCGGTCCATCCACCTGCCATCGGGGCTCCTGTAGGTAACACTGTTGCCGTGTGTAATGCTACTGATGGGGCTCCTGCAGGTAAGACCGTTGCCGTGTGTAATGCTGCTGATGGGATTGCTGACGCTTCTGCTATGGGTGACATCGATGTGGTTGATTGTGGAACGGCTCTTGCCGCTGCTTGCAGCTCTGGCTTTCCAACCAGTCGTACATGGATGTTTTGTCGGACAACCCCTGAAAGGTCTACTGCAGGCCCTGCAGCAGAGGATTTTTCTCCTTCAGCTAAAGACTTTTCACCACCACCTTCAGCTGATCCAGCTGCCACAGGAGTCGTTGCCGCTGCTGCCGTCGCCGTGGGTAATGTTGCTGATTGTAGCGATGACCCTTCTGGTGCGGATGACGCTGGTGCAGTCGATGGAGAGACAACTCTCGGCACTGCTGCTGCCGACAATCCTCCTGGTGGAACTGCTCCAGCTGTTGGCCGTCTTTGCAGCGACGATTCGTCGATCAAGAGCAGTTCGAATCTCCAAACGGAGAAACCAGAGCGACCCATCTCGTACCAGCACCGTGAGACGAGAAAGAGTCCAGCATAGGTGTAAAACTGGTTCCCGCCCTCCCTTGTCCCTCTGATCACCCTGACAGGCAGCCCATACTTCCAGCTGTTACTCAAAGCCAAATTGCCACCAGACAGCCGTTGATGACCTCTTTGGTTGATAGAAACAGGATCTACTAAGGTCTTCCCGTCAGTCAAGTAGCCAGAAATATGTTCCGCATTTGCAGCGACTAGGTTCCGTTTCTGCTTCGTTGTCATACTCTTCGCATTGCATCCTGACCCAGTATATACAATGCGATCTCCCACGTCCACATCATCCTCATAGTAGCCGGGACTGATGACAATAGCAGTGGCCACCACCTCTCCCACCACTGAATCTTTTGATGACATGTAATCTATCCCCGCCTGCATCTGACTGTGTAATCCCAAAACGGTCATTTCTGCACGATCAGCAAACTTGCTGCCCACACCAATCCCTGGCACGTGGCCAACCGCTTTCTCCCTATTTATCCTCACTCCCTCCCTTCCCATGATCTGTACAACCTTCGATCGCACCTGCACCTTTTGATATTTGACCTTATCTTTACGGCTCAGAAACTCTAGCCGCTCATTGTAAATGTCCAATTCCCTTGCCAGCCAGTGATATATCAGGTGGCTACGTTCGACGGTCTCCCACTCCTTTTTGACGCCAGATGGGCACATCACCGAACACCGCATGCACGGGGCATTCTCCCTTAGCTGCTCCAAGCCGAGGGTCAAGATATAGGACACTCGCATTACAAACAGACTCGTTGGCTGTTCCTCTATTCCCGTTCCACACTGATTCTGAATAACAGAAGATAGAAATGCCATTCTATCCATATGTGGTGGACATAAAGGTGCTCTTTGATTTCCCTGCAACCCCCCTCCGCTTCCACCTTCAGCCACTCGCCCTTCCCGGCCATTCAATTGCTCAGAGCTTCCCACAGCATGTCCGGCGACAGCCTCCGCATGTCCACAGGCCTCCCCTCCCCGACTATGACAGACACCTCCTACCTTCCCACTTCTTGCTGCAGACTCAGCACCAGCACACCGTTCTCGCATTCTTTGGTGTTCCCCTATTTGTCCTGCAGCAGCACTACAGTCCTTACTTGTAGGCAATTGCCCCTCTTTGCTGCCTCCCAGTCCTTCCAACACTTCTGCAGTCCTTACAGACTGAAGGGGGCAGCTGTTGTCCATCAATCCTGACAGATCCTCCCTTAGTTCCTCTTCCTCATCATTCTCGTCCAGCTGTTCATCGTCAAGATAATCTCCCGCGCTTCTTGGCAGGTCTGGAGCCCACCTCCTAGTAGTCAACTCTTTCCCGGCCGTTACCATCATCGCAGGACGGATTCCAAGCTGTTCCTGAGCAACGGCACCAACCGTCGTCCCAAGCGACGTGGACCAGGGAGCCCCTGCCAAGGCCATACGACGCACCTGTTCCAGATCGTCCGGCCCAGAAATGAAATCGTCCCCAAAAACGTCAGTTTCACCATCCACCTTGACCTCTCGGCAGAGAAGGAAATCGTCAGGCATTTCCATCCCACTAGCAGCCGCAACATGACCGGTCATTTCAGGCTTCTCTTGCTGCTGCTCACCTCCAGCGGGGAGCCGGACAGGCCCACCCGAATTGCGACCGGGATCCTCCTCAGCCGCACCCTCTCTTCCCTCATCGTCTTCTCCAGCTGAACAGGAACCAGAAGCATTGTTACCAGTATCTGGACACTGCTGCTTGGCCTCTGCTCTGACGCCAGGAGTCACTGCAGCAGCACAGCAGGAAGGTACCTGGCGCTGCAAAGGTGCCGGCCCCATCCAGCTGGCACCTGGCTGAGCCGCACCCTCACTTCCTCGCCGGGCACCATTGCCCTCCTCTGAAATCCGCTGCCGCTTAACTCCGTCCACACCATGATGTTCGACTTCATGTTCCTCCTTCACCTTCCGTTTCTCAGCAGAAGAGACGGCAATGTTGCACGCGGAGGTAACTTCGCCTGCTGGCCTCGCACAAACAGCTGGGGATACAGCTGGACATACGAGGGTTTGTAAAGCAGGGTGCGTGACTAAACCAACAGGCATAACTGGTGACGAACCTCCAATCCGCATCGCCCCCTTCCTGTCTTCCCCGTGTCCAGCAATCAACCCACCTCCCAAGCAATCAGCCTTCTTTCCCGCCAACTGACCCCCACCCTTGTTCGTATCTCCTTTCCCCAACCCGCAACCACAATCATGGTTACACCTTTCCCCTCTTCCCGCACAACGAAGCGCCGTTCCTCTCACGTCGACACCATTGGGAGTAAGGAGGGAAGGAGTCGAAGACAGATTGGGGAAGAATGAGTAATTCGAGTGGCGGCCTACACAGTCATCCACTACCTCCAGCTTGACACGCGGAGCAACTCTGTTCATCGTCCATTCCTCCGCCCTGTCCTCACGGACAACCTGGTCTTGCTTCGCCATGCATCTCGGCTGCTGCGCAGCCACACCGACAGCAAGTTGTGGTCTACCTGGCACAACGCCCCCTCCAACGTTCCCAACTTGACCCTGGGAGGCTTTCCAACCTCCTGTGAGTCCTATTCCCTCTGAAGTCAGAGGACAAGGCCAAGGTGTAAGCCCTTGTGGATGGGGCAACCTTTTCTCTGCCAGGTTCTCCACCTTCCCAAAACGAAAGCCCTGAGCCACATTGATTGGCACAGAGGCAAGCACGTCGAGTCTGTCATTTGACAGCCCATTACTCACCCAGTTGCCTTCCCAGTTCTGGCAACGTCCCTGACTGGCGGAGTCGTCCACTACCCTTGAGAGAGTTTGTTCGCGGCTGTTAACCTGGGGGTCCCTCAAACGCGTGGCAACACACATAAAATCTCCACCTGCTGCGACCCGAGCACTCTGTGAGCCACCAAGAATGACCTGCGCTGGTTCTTTTGCTCGTGGCATTGCGGCTGCGGGTACACCTCTTCCCAGCCCTCCAATGGTCAACTCAGCTACTCCTACTGCTGCAGCCGTTCGTCCTCCTGTTGCCATTGCTGCCGCACTTACTCCTACCGGCACTGCTGCTCTTCCCCCCATGTTCAAGCTGGGCACGCGATGACACTCATAGCCTTCACGAAATGAAACTGCCTCCTGCTGCTGCTGCTGCTGACGTATACCCCCAACACCCACCACCGCCGCCCATGGACAGCAGCCACCATTGCTCAGATTCCCACTCGCTCCTCCCCTTTCCGAGTCCGCCGTGCGCCCACAACCGTTGTTGTACTCCTGAGCGGGCACTGCTTGATAAGCCTTTTTGTCTACATCACCGGCTTTTCCCGGCGGGAAACAGGACGTCATAGCCTCTCGACTCCCTTTTTTTTCACAATTCCCAGTCACCGTCCCACAGCCACCACTACCTGCTGCAACCACCTCCCCAATGTCCATACCCCAGCGACGAAGAAGATTCTGTTCGCACCCAACAGGAAAGCCGGATGACGGAAGCATCACACAGTTCGACCTCGATCCAGCTTTTCCGCCATCCTTTCTGTCCCTGCGCACGTTTTGGAAGAGAGGCTCTGCCGAGTTCCAGAAGGACCATTCCTGTTCCCGCCGGCAACTCTCGCCTCCGCTAACAACACGACGTTGCAATTCTGTGATCTCTACCGTATCCATCACCTTGGTTTTTGGATCACTTCGCATCATACAATCGTCAGTATCGCCCTCTCGACCGGCGACATCTGCTTCACCCTTGAACTGCTGCAATCCCTTATTAGAGCTACCCCCCCTCACAGGAGCGTTTGTCGGCATCAGGCATTCGACATGCTGTTGCTGCTGCTGTCCTTGGCCACCATACCAGATGGAACCACCATCAACGTCGCCAGCAAACTTCCTCCCCTGTTCATCCCATCGGGATTGACCTCCATTTCCATCACTATGATCGCCAATGAAAGCATGCCGACCAGCACCGCCGCTGCTTGATCCCAGATAATCCTGCGACGGAAGGTCAGCAACCGTTGTCCACCTCGTTCTCAGCTTCCCGCCATCCCTTCTAGACCACCCTGCCACTCCCTCCACGGTACCCTCCGCTTTGCAATCCTCTTCCGCTACGATAACGAGATCAGGACAGGTCATCTTCTTATCTACATCCGTCACATCATCATCATCTTGCTTCTGCTTCTTCAAAGGTCGACTACTATCAGCTGCTACATCTTGATGACCGCAAACCGAGCGCCCCACTTGCACTTTCGCTTCCGTTGTTACAGATTGTTCTCGCCGTTGCTCTCCAACCGATGCCGCTTCTCGTGACACCGCCGGCGCAGCAGCACACACGTCATCTCTCGTCCTTTTCCCCCCCCTCGCTTCACCCTCTTCTTCTATGATGGCCACAGATTCTTTCCTAGATTGGCAATTCAAACAGACTGATGTCATCCGGGACTCCTCCCGTTTTGACTTATTTCTCTTCTCCTCCGATTCGTTCCCCCCCTCCTGCTCCCAGACTCCCGCGGCAGGGTCAGAGGCGAAGCGAGACGAAGCCTCGCCTGGCCGTCTAGCTGCTATCCTTTCCATCCGCTCGTCCGCTTTGTCTGGCGCACGGCATACGTCAGCATCCAGCTCTCTTTCTCGCCGCTCTTCTCCGTTTCTATCACCTCCATCCCCAGCTAAAGGTAATGCCAGACACCGAAAAGAATGGACGCAGCAGGGCTCCGGGCTCACAAAAGCAGTGTTCGGCTTGACCGGCTTTTCCTTCACCTCCTCCTCCTCATCATCGTCACTGTCGTCGTCGAGAATAATCGGTTTATCAACGGCATTCCCCCACCCCGAGTTCCTCAGATTCGGACGATTGTTCAGCACCAGCAGCCCCCCAGGCGCACACCTGCACTCACGACCAGCTACGCTTTCAACAGAGTTGTTGCGTCGGTCGTTCGCCCATTCCCCCTCTACTACGTCCTGACCCTTGTCGAGCCTTTCAAGAATGACGCCGTTCTTCTGCTTACCTCCCAAACACGAGCCCTTCGTCCCAACTTCGTGATCATCAAGGCGACGAGTCCGTTCTACATAATGCTGCTCCCCCTCTTCCTGCAGCTTAGCTGAGTCGACAAATAGCACTGCGCACCCTTCCGAAGCAGGAGGATGAGGAAGAGCGGCCGTAGGAGAGCAGATGTCCCTTCTCGAAGACTGCTTCACACTTCCCACTTTATCATCCTCGTCTGTTGATGACGAAGACGATGGCGGCGATGATGCCGAAAAGGAAGACGAAGCACGCAGCTTAGAGTCATTGCTACACTTCGCCTCCAGATCAACCGCCTGGGGGAAACACTCGTTCTCCGCATTACCATCGCCCGCTGTGCCGGCGTTGTTAGACGAAAAGTCGTTCCGATCATCGACAGCGGCCATAACGCAACACCCATGCTTCTTCCCGCCGTCCTCACCCCTCTTCTCGAGAACACCCACGACCTTCCGACCACCCGTTTCAGATGACGAAGTCGTCAGTTCAGGAGCACCCATCACCGCTTCACTACCTCCATCAGAGAGCGCAGCTTTCCTCCCGCTACCACCACCACCACCTTTGCCTGCGCGCTCAGCGGCATCTTCACCATGCCGCACGTGTGACCCGTCCTTCTTCTCTCCCTCCAACTTCATCGCTCTCTCCTCAACTTCCTGAACCTCAACCACACTTCCATCGTCCGACGTGGCATCCCCCCCTCCACGGCCCGCCACGGAATCGACAACACCGGCGGCCGCAGAGGCAACAGCAGCAGCAGCAGAGCACTCGTAATTATCGTCCAAACGTTGTGCCGAGCTGGCATCATCATCCATCCCCGCGCCCAGCAGACTACCTTCTCCACCCTGCTGACCCTTCTTCCCCTCCTCCCAATTTGTTGTTATACCTTTCACAGCGACTAAGGGCGGAGACAATGTCCCTTCTTCGATATTGCCACCGGCGTTCACGTGACACCTGCTCAGCTCCGCCTGACGCTGGCAGCTGGTGCTACGTTCAGTCTTAACCCTCTGATGCTCTCCAACACCCTCTACGATGAGACAGGCCGTTGCCTCATCGCCTCCACCGCCCCCTTTTCCTCTCTCTTCCGTTGCTATCCTCTCTTGCGAAAGACCCTTTTCTTCTTCTTCTATCACTGCCGAAGGCCGTTCTAACGGTGCAGAAAGCGCTTCTTCTTCCTCTGAGGATTTCTTTCTACCGCAGTGCGAACAGCAGACCTCCGCCTTCGGTACCGTGATCGCCGTCGAGGAAGAAACCACCACCGTCCCCTTCGTCTTACTCCCGGCGTTCTCCCCCCGTTCCCGCCCATTCCCGACGCAAGAGCCGCCGTCCACATCACATCCCACACCGGCGGCCGTTGTCGCTGCGGAAATTGACGAGACGTCTCCCAAGTCACAACTACACTGGGACTGACAATTGGAAGGCGAGGCACATGTGTTTGGCTGTTCAACCACGTCGTCGTGACAGCTGGGCTCCTCGTCGTCATCGCTACCACCGTTCTCCTCCTCGTCCTCACTATCAAGATTGATCAATATAGGAGTGGCCGCTGGTCCTCCATTCTCCAAAACCACCACCTCGTCGTCATCTTCATCATCATCAACATTATCATCATCATCATCATCATCTGCAGTATCACCTCCTCTCCTCTTCGCTTCTTCCACTTGAGTATCTCCAACTGCGGTACCACGACAATTTTCCGCCACGAGGCCATCTAGATGATGGCCCTTCCCTTCCTCAGACGTCATCCTCCTCCTACTCAAACCGCCGCCGGTCCACTCCTTCCCCGGGGGCTGCTCGATAATCACACACTCGTCTTCCTCGCCGTCCTCCACCGCACCCCCGTCCACATCCCCATCGACGCCCAAGCTCCTCGATTCGTTTCCCCTGACGTCAACACCAATCTCGCCCAGTCCATCTACATTGGTACTGGCCGTCTGCGCTCTGCAGGCAGTCGTGGGTGCTTTTCTTTGGCACCACCTCTCTGCATCTGA